ATATATATGTATATACATATATATATATATATATATATATATATATATATATGTACATATATATATATATATATATGTACATATATATATATATATGTACATATATGTATGTACATATATATATATATATATACACACAGGGTGGGACATGGATATGTACATGGATACACCTTAATAAAATGGGAATGGTTGGTGATATTGACGTCCTGTTTGTGGCACATTAGTATACATAAGGGGGCAAACTTGAATCCAACTTTTGTTTTTTTAATAAGAAGAGGGTCATTTGACACATCAACCTTATTGGGAAATTCACAAAAAAAAAAAAAAAAACAATGGTGTGCTTGGTTTTAACGTAAATATATTATTTCAAGAAATTATTTCCAAGTTTCTGACCACTTATAAAATGTGTTCAATATGCTGCCCATTGTGTTGGATTGTCAATGCAACCCTCTTCTCCCACTCTTCACGCACTGATAGCAACACCGCAGGAGAAATGCCAGCACAGGCTTCCAGTATCCGTAGTTTTTCAGGTGCTGCAGATCTTGTATCTTCACATCTTCAATGAAATGATGCAGTGAAAAAGTATTGAACTCATGAAGAAAGGGAGGTGTAGTTCTGCACTGAAAGCCCAGACAGCAGCTGAAATCTTTCAGTAGTTCTTCAGCAAGCCTCTGCCCATCCTCAGTGTAAATGAATATCAGCTGCTTCAGTCCAACATCTACATTAGCAGGAGGATAAAGATGAACCCAGGGTGGACTTCTGAGAGGTAACAGCTGCTGTCTGGGCTTTCACTGCCCAAATACTCCTCCCTTTCTTCATGTGTTCAATACTTTTTTCCTGCATCATTTTATTTAGCATGACTTCATTTGTAAACTACTATGTATTTCTTAGGTTGTTATCAACATTCGCGGAAAATTTCAAGTCAACAGCACCTTTAGAAGTATGTTTTCTGAGAAAAATTGTTACGTGCAATACTTCTTTTCCTCACTGTATATAATTATATATATATATATATATATATA